ACGCCACCACCAGTGAGCGCTGACACACCTCTTCAGCCAATCGGAGCAAGTCGTGTGTCTGCAGCTGCTCAGTTTGTCCACGTTGCCTCCGTCTCTCAGTAGTGCTTGTTAGCTCAAGTCAGTTGTTCTCTGACTCGGCAGCTGCAGCTGATGACCGTCATTGAGCGAGTCTCGGTCTTGTTAACATGACTCAGGTGTAGCGAGAGCTGGAGTTGGTTGCGACGTCAGGGTGTGAACAGTGCATTGTGTTCTGGGATTGATAGGTGGTGACCCCGGCAGCATTGTAGTGGTAAGACAGAGCGGTGTAGAGGTTTATTTATTCACTATTAACGTCCGGCCACTGACATCACTGCAGTGTAACCACATGCTCACTCAGCCAGTGCACGTTGAATGAACCAGCTCTAATGTAGCTGGTGAGTTAGTGAAGCTTTACGTCCTCAGGAAGTCCCAGCAGGACTGCGGTCTGCGTTAATGTTACAGTGTCGGCTGACTACACTGCAGCTCTGCACCCTGACGGTTACACCAGTAAATCATGTAGCGTCCTCTTCAGGCAGCCATGACATCAGCTGTGTGCTCCCTTAAATGAACCCTAAAATATTGTAACTAACACTGAGGTCAATCCCAGAATGCACTGTGCTGTTTTCTCCCTGGTGTCACTGTGACAGACAGCAGTTGCAACGCTCCCGTTTCTGAGCGGTTGGTGTGTGGCGCTCTCAGCTGGTCTGTTTTCTGTTTGGCTGCTGCCCCCTCCCCTCACGCCCCCTGCCCTCAACCACCGGAGCTTCAGGGTCACACTCTTCAAAATGAGCCAGGTTCAGAACTGGCCTGTGAGAGGAGACGATGTGGGAGACGATGTTTCTCTGTGTCCTCGGTTTCTCAGCCGGTGAGTCGCTCTGACCTCAGATCAGACGTCTGCTGAGAAACCGAGGCTCCTCGGTCACTATGGAAACGCATGGCATTTACCAGAACAATAGGGACCGGTGGATCTTATGAGACGGTGCCTGGGCCGGAGCACCGCCAAGCTCAGAATTATGAGATAAGATCCTCCGGTTGCTTTTGTTTCAGTGAACGCTGCGCGTTTCTGCACAGCAGAGCTTCTCACATTTTGCTTTTTGGCTGCTGCCCTCAAACTTCCTGCGGACGTCGTCACTCTGTTACTGCTGTCGGGTTCAAAGCACATTATTACATTTGCCTGTTAAAACACAGCTCTACTAGTTTAATATTACAGAAATCAGTGTGCTGTACTATAGTAAAGGGCTTTGTTTACTAATTGTTTTTAATCATTAAATCATAGAAAATTCTTTGAAACCCCACTAATGTAAATTCACCAGTTTGCAACGAAATGTGCATCTTTTGTTAAATCATTTTAAAATACGATTAGATATAAAGAATGTTATTCAAGGGATTTTTTTAAACCATTTTAGTCATCTGCAGTGTTTTTTGCTCCTAACTTAAAATCCATTAGTTTGACCCAACGCCCATATTAATACTAAATCCCTAAAATAGCATCATAAGAATTCAAAACCCCAACATGCAGCAAACGCCTAAAAATACTTTGACTTTCCTCCATTATTAAACGTTTCAGCGGTCTCAAATCTTAGTTCATTAAAACCACTGAAGGGGAAAATTTATGTAACAAATCTGAGTAGTTCTACTTTTCACAAACTCAAATCACTTCTTCACACCATCGGTTAAATTTCATTTAAACCATCATTTGTTCTAAATATAATTAATACAATGGGGGATTTTTTTTTAAATAGTGGATCAACTGCACTTAATAATTTAAAGCATTAATTCCCCTAACACTTGGGGAAGCCTTAAATAGGTTATTAGTGTCAATATTAAGATTTATTTAAATCGGTCTCTAATTTAGTCTGTTTTTCTGTTATTTACTAGAATAAACTTACTAACAAAATCCCTTTAAGTGGCATTAATGTAGAAGTTGCAGCTTAATTAAAAATAAAGGTCCCATTGGCTTCCTGAAGAGGAATACGTTAAATCTCATTAATCTGCAGCTGAAAATGTCAAATTAAAGGTAAAGAGCACTGTGCGTTCTTTGACAAGGCCACTGACGCTGAACTGTTTAATTAGCTTTAATTTACCAACTTCATCAGCCCAGGTCCTGTGGTTTAATCTAAGGATAAACAGGGCCCTGTAATCTGAGGAGCTTTAGTCGGTTACATGCACAGTTTAATCAAACATGAAATTCATCCTTTCATTTTAAAATTCAGCTTTGTCTTTTTAAAGATATTTGCAATTTAAGTCAATATTTCACATTAGTTACACTAAATTAAGGGAGAATTAATTTACACCTGGTTTTGAGTTATTTTAAAAAAGTTTTAAGACAAGTGTTTTCAGATGTCGTGCTGCGATGTGGTTTTAACCCGACAGACTGATCGTTTTCATACCTGTCCGTCTGACTTCCTGTTCCGCCCCTGTCGCCTCTGTCCAATCAGGAGAAGCGGATCGGGTCCCTGGATGCGGCCAACTCTCGGCTGATGGCGGCGCTGACGCAGGTGAAGGAGCGCTACAGCGCGGCCAACCTCCGCAACGGCCTATCGCCCACCAACCCCACGAAGCTGTCCATCACTGAGAACGGCGAGTTCAAGAACAGCAGCTGCTGATTGGCTGAGCAGAGGGGGAGGGGCTTGAGTCCTCTGGCCTGTGGAGGAACGATGAGAGAGAGAGAATTTAAATTCTATAAATAGGAGTGTAAATAGTTAAGGTCCTTTGTACAGAGTGTGTGTGTGTGTGCGCGGTGTGTGTGTGCGTGCGCGCAGCGTCACAGAAGCACAGAAGAAGAAAACCAAAAACGTTTTTTAATCCAGATTTTTTATCTTTTCATTTAAAGCTTCTGGGTTTTGTTGCTTATGACGGTTTGATGTTAGAGTGGAGTTTTCTGTTGTTTTGGGTTTTAATTTATTCCTCGACGCCCTTGTCCTGTTGCTACTGAACCGACTCCTGGAGGACCAGGGTCAAAGGTCACACCTGTCTGTCTCCCTTGTTCTGAATAAAAGTTGCCCGAAAATGCGCTCAGTGTCCGTCTCCTGCTGTTGTAACAGTCTGACAGAAACAAAAGGCCAGTTCTAGGGTTTTTAGTTGCAATGATTAGTCGACCAACAGAAAAGACATCGGCTGACTTCACTCGTCATGAGAAACATGTTTTCTGTTACTATAAACCACATCAGGTGCTGTTTATCAATCACATGACCACATCTGGAGCAGTCTCAAAGGCCTGATCATTAGGAACACCTCTGAATATAATGTCCATACAACACCACATGTAGTGTAATATGACATGTGAAGTCACAGTCTGAAGCAACAGGACATGGAAATACTCAAGTACAGATACCTCAGTATTTGTATTTGAGTATATGTAGGTCTAGTAATGTTACAGTGAACCACTAAACAATGACATGGACACGCCGGTGGAGCTGGAACAGATTTGGTCTCGGATCAGTCAAACGCCTGGTTGACATTGTGGTCAGGCGGACAGCGAGCTTCAACCTCAGATCACTGGCCTCTGTCCAGTCTAACTTTACTCATACAGCACATTTAAACAGCGAGTTGTACCAAAGTGCTTCACAACCGTAATACAAAACAGCCAACCAACAAAATATTACAACAAAACACACATGAACATTTCCAACAGGAAACCAGGCGAGTTTCCCTCTGATCGTGGGGCAAAGGCTGGAGTAAAGAAGTGGCTCTTGGTGTTTCAAAAGATCCCTGCGGATTTAACAATATTGATAAACTCTGAGCAGCAGTGGCCCAGGGAACCGTCTACAAAGTGCAACACTGAAAAAAGATTAACATTCAGTAACTTCACTCTCACCTGGTGTAGTGTCACCGAAATCACTTCACACATCAGTGGCCGTGCGCTGGTTGTGATACTTTAGGCAATATTATCAGGAAGCACAACATAAATTTCCATTGCTATGCAGATGATACTCAGTTATATTTATCTATGAAGCCAAATGAATCAGGTCAGTTGGTCAAATTTCAAGCATGTCTTAAAGACATAAAGGCCTGGATGGCCTGTAACTTCTTACTTCTAAACTCTGACAAAACTGAAGTTATTGTGCTTGGGCCTGAAAACCTTAGAAATCTGCTGTCTAATCATATAGTTACTTTAGATGACATAGCTCTTGCCTCTAGTACTACTGTGAGGAACCTTGATGTCATCTTTGATAAGAATATGTCCTTTAAATCACACATAAACCAAGTCTCTAGAACTGCCTTCTTTCACCTGCGCAATATTGCAAAAATCAGGAGCATCCTGTCTCAAAGTGATGCTGAAAAACTGGTCCATGCATTTGTTACTTCCAGGCTGGACTACTGTAACTCTTTACTATCAGGATGTCCCAATAATTCCCTAAAAAGCCTCCAGCTAATCCAAAATGCTGCAGCCAGAGTAATGTTAATGACAAGGCTCCATCGTATCTTAAAGACCTCGTAGAGCCTTATCATCCTAACAGAGCACTTTGCTCTCAGAGTGCAGGTTTACTTGTGGTTCCTAGAGTCCACAGAAGCAGAATGGGAGGCTGAGCCTTTAGCTATCAAGCTCCTCTCCTATGGAACCAACTCCCAGTCTCAGTTCGGGAGGCGGACACCCTCTCTACCTTTAAGATTAGACTTAAGACGTTCCTTTTTGATAAAGCTTATAGTTAGGGCTGGATCAGGTGACCCTGAGATGCTGCTAGATGCCTAGGCTGCTGGGGGGCCCCATGATGCTCTGAGTCCCCCCTATACAAATATACAAATAAAATTTGATTTGATTTGAATGTTGTTGAATTTTTCCTACAGCTGCATCAGGACCACTACCTTTAAGCCAATCAAATGAAGGATGCTCAACAATTCACCCACAAGCAACTTTTCCCTGAGCTCTAACTGCATCGACCATAGTCTGCAAAACCGTTATGATGCAGCAGTGAGTAAACAGAGGGACTGTGCGTTTTGAGCCTAAATGTGAGACCATGAACCAAGTTTAACCCACTGGGCTGGTTTGTGGTAACACACTGGACACGTTCGTACATGGCCTCACTGCTACAGAGACGATCATCAAACCTAATTAAAATTCAGCAAAAACCTGTAAAAACTGGCTGGTGTTGCATAAAGGGCCAGTGCGCCACCTGACTACACTTTAACACCACGGCAGCGCCTCCCCGCGGCCAAGACCGAAAGGTCACCTGCCAGTTGTCGTCCGCCGCATCATCACAGCTTTTCTCATCGTTTTCCTCCATAAAGTCAGTGATTACAGATGTTTAAAATTTGAACAATTACCAGTTGTTTAGGGTCTTTTGATCAAAACACCAGTTTTTAGTTTCCCTCTAGAATAAGGCTACAGATCATACACCAAGCCAGTGTTTACCTAACGACTCTGCGGGAATTCCTGCCACGATCACGTGGCTTTCAGTGATCAGTTCATACTTAATAGATAATCAATAAAGGAACGTCACATTTCCTTAATACATTCATTGACCAGACGCCAAAACAGCTGCACTTACAAGATTATTTCAGAGCCAGGCTTCTGCTCAGTTCCTCCACATCACTGCAGGATACCACATCTATAAACTAGAACATCTGGACAACAAAACGCACGGGAGCGTCAGAAACAGCGTCAGGCCGCCTCTCATCTATCAGACTGCAGCTCCTGAGTGACCGTGGTCTAGAGCAGTATTCTCTACCCTGTTACACAGCATGACTTCTACTAACACCTCCGTATTTTTGTAGTCTCTGGTTCCAGTGCTGCACTTTGTAGACGGTCCCTGCGCCTCGATCAAACTGAGGTTGCGTTTTGTCTGCCTGACTGCGAAGCTAAAAAGGCGTCGTCTGTGCTTTCAAGTTTAGCTTATGAGTTAACTTATTGACCCGGAATCTCCGTGAATACCTTTTCTTTGCAACTGCACCAAAGTCAAACTCAAACTCTGTACATTTCTGCTGCGAGACGTTTCTTCCTAAACTCTGCAGCACTAACAGGGAAAACGAGGATTTACTGGCGTAGCCAACACTTGATAATTGATGGGGGAAAACTCACCTGCCGCTGCCGAGTCCCCACAGTCCTGCAGTAAGTCCAGGTCCTGGTCCTGGTCCAGTTTTACTCAGATTAGCTTCGTCACCTGGAACATGTTCTGTCAAAGTTTGTAGCGAAAAATACGAAAAAAGTGCAAATTTCTCCACTTCATCGGCGGAAAGCCGCCGGACCGAGCCGAGGATTTTAATGAGCAACACCTGTCCGGACTGACCTGCTGTAACCACAGGCGGAAGCCTAATACACCCAAGTTACAAACCACAGGTTCCGCGTGAACCGCCATGTTGGTACGGGGAAGCCTGCTAATGCAGGAAATCGCTTAACAAGTAAAATAATCCTAAATGAATTTACAACTTATTCTTCAGCTACACATAAATAACTGTGGGCTCATAATACAGAAAACATGGTCACATTAAAATGTGGATTTTCATACAAAATGCTTTCTTTTGTAGATCAAGACAATGATGTTTCTATATTTAAGATGAACTTCTTAATCAAGTGTTTTTCTTGTTACTACAGTGTAGACCGGCAGATATCCTGTCGGCAATTTACCATTTACTTTATTTACATCTTTAGAGGAATATTTCTGTTTTTACTAACATTAAACCTTTAGCCACATGTTCACTGTCTTGAACGGGCACCGATGCTCCGGACGCTCAGAATGACCGAATAATCCAAACCTCACTGATCAGACTCTCCAGACCTGGAGGAGAACAGCACGTCTGCAAACTACGACAAGAGGAGAAGAAGTGGACGACAAGAGAAGCAGCAGCAGCGAGCTGGGCACTGTTTTCTTGGTAAGTTTTTATTATGCTTAAAAAAGAAAATTAAAAGACAGAGGAGGTGGTGATCAAAGAAAAGGGAAAAATATATATTCATATTCAAATATCTTTATACTTTTCTATTCATATATGATTAACAATGCAAAGAAAATAATTCCTGTTGTAGTAGTGCTTAAGTAAAGTTCAATATAGACTTTATTATAACAAAATAGGCAGTTTACCGAGGGGTAAATATCGGTTCAAATCTCGTACAATAATCGCCCGCACGTTGCAACACATCTGGCCACACCTGGAGGTGGCAGCTGGACTCCAGGGTCACGACACAAATGACCAATGTCATTTTCATGGTAAGACACTGACGCCGCTGACGGCTGCACGCAGACACTGGCAGGGTTCGAACTCGTGTCACAGAAGGCCCGCGACACCCGGACAGTTAGTCTGAAACCAAACTCACTTTGCCTGAATTTGACTCTAAAATCAAACTTTCTAAAAGAAAATGCGACAGTGCAGCGACAACATTTTAACAACGCATCACCAGCAGAACCTGCGGACACTCGATCATGGCTGCGGCCCAGCAGGAGGGAAACGTCAAGCCGGCCTGTGGGAAGCAGCGTGTCCACGAGCTACCTCATGGCATCAGCTTTCTGGGTTGTTTCCATCACTTCTGAGACAAAAGATTGTTCTTGCAATTTAAGAGTTGAGATTGTTGCCTGCTGATTGAGACGTGTCCAGGGTTTATAGTTAAGATTTCTCCTTACAATGAGAGTTTCATTGTAATTCTTTAAAATATTATGTTGTAATCGTACTTTGTGTTAATTATAAACATTTTCCTTTAAGTGGAAACTGAAATGTTTTCTCTAATGTTGAGATTATTTCCTGGTAATTATGAGATATTTATCTTAAGGCTTTTTTTGTTGTCTGCATAGTTTAGTTTACAGGTAAACTGGGACTAAAACTACCCTGTTATTACAAAACTAAGTCATAATGATGACATTCGTTTTCCTTCTGTGTCTTCGTCGCTCACCGCACATTCATGTTCTCGCTGCACTGACACATTTTATCTTCTCGGAGAAAATGAGGCTTTAAGATTCACAAACAGAAAACATGAGGACATTTTTCTGCCGTTTGACCTTTGACCTCATTAAAGCTAAACGTTTAAAAAGCAAAAGTTTGGCAGTAAAATCAAATTCATTCAGTGTTCAGGACGTGACCGACTACTATGGAGCTGGATTTGCTTCATTATTGAACTTTTAAAAACATTTCTGGCTAAAATCAAACCATCAGATTTCAGTGTGAAGGTGCACAGCGCCCTCTAGCAGCAGAGCGGGAGCCCTGCACAGCATCCAGACAAACATCCAGCAGCGGCCAGAATCAAAAAGGTTCGACAAAACGTGTAAAAACAACAAAAAGATGAAATGCATGCGGAACAGAAGAGAGAAGCTGAGGCGAGGGGGCTGATGGGAAATAAACAGGCTATTAACTGACATGCTGTTAAAGCTCAAACGTGCAAAGTTTTGCTGTTTGTGTCTCCGCCTTCCTCCGTGCCGACGGACGCTGCCTGAGACTGAAACTCCGTCCGCCTGCTCACCTTACAAGAATAAAGGGGGGGAACCCACAAACAAAAAGAAAAGAGAAATTCTGCTTCGTACGTTTCTTCTCGCCACGTCGTGGACTCATCCTCGTCGTCTGAAGTTCTCCTCCCTTAAACATTAAGGAGCTGTACCGTGTCATCACCTCCTGTGTGCTTTTCTCTGCTGGTCAGGAAACAACCAAAGTCTGGTTCAGGCCAAAAACACAAACAAAACAACAAAACTCTCAGCTGTTGATGGGGGGTGGGGGGCAGGAGGCTGCCATCTGCAGGTCAATGTTTCTTTTCAAAATAAAACCAAGTGAATCTAAAGAGAGGAGGAGGAGCGACGGAGCTTCATAACTTCTCCTTGGACTGGACCCAGATGAAGGGACCCGACTGCTCCTCGATGATCTGCTTCACCTGCTCGTAGATTTCCTCCAGAGTGTCACCCTGCACGATGGCTGGAAACACACACACAACACACACACAGTTCGGTGATGTTCGCCCCATGTGCAGACACACAAACACCCAGGGTCTCCGACCAGCAAGGCAAACTGTAAAGCTACAGAATATCGTTCTAGATTCTAGCAGACATCCCAAAGTGTAAGGAACATTTCTGTGAGGCTACTATCTGGAGAAGTGTCTAAAAACCACCATCTGATGGATGTGTGTGGACAGATTCAGTCAGGAGCTCAAGAAGACGTTGTGGGTTTCACTCAGTGACAGAAGATGAGCTGACACATGATGCAACGTTTACACTTTTGCAGACCACTTGGGGAAAAAAAGGGTTTTTTTTAGCTACTGAGAAACAACATGAGGGTCACAAAAAAAGTGGTTTTCTAAGCTACTGAGAAACAACATGAGGGTCACCTTTGACATGAGTCACTGCACAGGAGTGTGGAGGTGTCAGCTGACTACGAGCAGCCTGGGGACTTTCTCCTGGGTTAACAGGAGCCCCGGACGTGGCTGGGCGTTGGCACTGTGACAGCGCGTGGGGTGTCTCACCTGTGAAATGCTCGGTGAACTCCTGCTCCAGCTTGGTGGCTCTGTCAAAGGTTTTCCTGCCCTGCTCCTCCGTTAGACGCTTGTTCATCTCCCTGCAGGACGAGAACAGGGCGACAAACATGATCAAGGATGTTTCAAGCGCAGTCACACTGTGGCCGCTGATTCTGTACGTGTTGTTAGAGGCCAAGAACAGGCGCCACTTAGTGTCTGAATACGGCCCTGATGAGCTGATGGTCCTGTGTAGTCGTGTATACGAAATTACTGGACGTGCCTTCTAGGACAAGCGTGGTTTGGTGGTGGACCATCCCTTTATAGGCCTAGGCTGAGGGTCGTCCCATGATGCAGAGCCCGGGGGGGGGGGCAGGTTTTTTTTTCTAACAATATTAACAGTAAGGTCTAGAACTGACTCTGTAAAGTGTCCTGAGATGACTTTTGTTTTGATTTGGTGCTACACAAATAAAACTGAATCGAATGTGTCATGTAGTGTAAATGATTCAGGTGCGTGACTCTGACGGGAACAAAAATTAGCACTGATCAGTGAAGTAGTAACAGACCCGGACACTCACATGATGTTTTCCACAGACTTTGGCTTGATGAAGATGGCGATGGGGTGAAGCTGGGCCAGCTGCAGTCTCTTGATGGCGTTCCCCGACACGTCCAGGATACAGTGTTTACCCTGCAGGGACACAGGCTGTTTGTCACACCCGCCGTTTCTCTGCACTGACATACAGTAGGCTTCATTTACACAGGAAATATTTCTGAACTAGTCACTGACTTATCTTTAAAATGAATGTGCAGGTTTAAAATGAAACTAAGATGTTCCAGATGCTGTAGAAACAGCTGACAATGAATTCAGTCAGTCTAATTTTAAAACCCAAGCTTTACAAAGGCAGAGGTGGACAACGCACAGGGAAGAAGCTATGCCGCTGTGCGGGTCCAGTCCACTGGGGCTTCATGTTTGGCCGACTGATTCAATCGATTCTCGACAGAACATTTCAACCTTGACCTCACAGCTGACTTTCACCTTTGTCGTTCTGTCAACGTGATTACAAGTATTATTAGTGTGTCAATCAATCGTAGAAGATGTGAATCCTTTTCCCACCACCTCTACTGTCAACAGCCACCAACAGTCCACACAGCGTCAGAGCTGGTCTGTCACAGCCACACAGCCGCTGCCCATACCTTCTCTGCCACCTCCCGGACCGACTGGACGCTGGTTCCATACAGGTGGTTGTTGTATTGCCCCGCTTCGATGAACTTGTGGTCCTGGATGTCCTTCTCCATCTGCTCTCTGGACACCATGAAGTGATAATCTCTGCCGTCCATCTCGTAGTCCCGCTTCGGCCGGGTCGTATCTGAAGGAGGAGCCAGGAGAAATGGGTTAGAACATTGTGATCCCTGTGGTTTATCGCAGATCTCAGTATGAACCAACACGTTTCTAAACAGGGACCTGGAGGTCTTGGGGGACTTACGTGGGACGCAGGATCCGAATTTGTCGGGGAACTCAGAGATCAGGTCGTCGTTGATCCGATCTTTCATGGGGCCGAGGATGATGACGGGACGGGTGTAGCTCACTGTCAAACACATGTGACACCGGACTCAGGTAAGAAGCTGCTCCTGAATCACATGCTGCCTTTTTGACCACACAGACTTTCAGCTGAGGCCTTCTCTGCTCAACAACAACAAGCTTGTTGCGGTGCCCAGACTGATTTACTGGTTCCAGCCTACATGACTGGTCACCGCCCCTGACGACATTGTGTCCAACTTCACTGTCATTAGGCTCTACTTTGTGGAAACATGTCTTCAGCTCTCAGTTAAAAAACAACACATGGTCACAAACAGCAGCGTGTGCACATGACAACAGAGACGTGAATATAAGAATGAGAAATAAAATGAGAAGCCATTTCTGTGAACTACAGCATTTCACTCAGCATCTGACTGCATGTCAGGGGGAGTCACACATGCTCGGCTCGGTCCAACATCCCTGTTACTTCACTGACAGTATGTACTGTTCTCTGCTGTAACGTTCAGATATCCACAGCACGCGACCATGTTAAAAGCCAAATACCACCATAACAATCTTCCGTGTGCTACAGCCTCTGTCCTTCTTATGCTTTTGTGCTGAGACCAATGTTTAATGCTTTTTAAATTCTATTTTTATTCATCATTTTTGTTCAAACTAAAAATGCACAAGTATTCATATGCCAAGTTTATTTTGATGTGTTACATTTTCGACCTCTCCTAACATGGCCTTTTCCTTCTGTGGAGTGGATACGGGAAACTCATTTCCCTCCGAGGTGATTTAAATGCTGCGTCTTCTCCTCACTCTGAGGTTTTATTTTATTAAAATCACTTCTTTTTTGTATCTGAACCAGCCTTCAAACACCTCGTGGGACCGGCGAAGCCCCACAGACACACAACAACAACACAGATGAGTGTTTTCAGAAGCGTCCTCAAGATGCTTCTCTGGTTGTTCCGAGTGGTTTTAAAGT